GCTATTTGACTTTTGTGGAGAAAGAACATCTCATATTGTCTCAAAATACTTTGAATTTTTTCCTTTATTCAGTTTCTACAATATATACTAAGTAAATTCTAACAGAGAAGCTGTTAGGTAGTCTTCAAAGTTACTGACTGCATAAGACTATAATAAATAATAATAATAATAATAAATATAGATTCTGTAACCTTTTATATTTTTGCCAATAACTCCACAACCATCAATTGTACACATATGATAATACCACCTTTTAAATTGTCTCTCTGACCTGCTCAGAATGACCCTATTTTTATTAAAAAATATCAACTTTTGCATATTATGTTTTACTTACTATTTGAACTATATATTTTATATTTTTGCTAATAACTCTACTACTATCTACTTTACAGATATAACACTATCTCTGTTCAAATTATCTTACTAACCTGCTTAGAATCTTCTTATTTTCATTATAATATATCTACTTTTGCATCTTATGTTTTACTCACTATTTGCTTTATACAGCTAACCCTAACTTTAATTCTAATTACTTAATTTTCTGTTACTTTTTTATATTTCTGCCAAAACTCTACAATCATTAATTGTAGACATGTGAAACTACTACTATTCAAGTTATCTCTCTGACCTGCTTAGAATATCTCTATTTTTGTTAAAATATATTAACTTTCACATCTTATGTCAGTGTCAGTATTTGCTATATAAAATATATATATTTGCTAATAACTCTATAAAACTACTACTGTTTAAATCATCTCTCTGATCTGCTTATAATCACTTTATTTTTCTTACTATATATTCACTACTTGTGGAGAAAAAGTCCATCTAACAGAAATTACAATCTTCATTACTGTAAAAAATAATACTAATTTATTTTGAATTTTTGTTACTTCTATATTTTTGCCAATAACTCTACAATTATTAATTATGTAAATATAATACTATCATATCTTAAATTATCTCTCTAATCTAGTGCTTAAAATATTCTTATTTTTGTTACAATATATCAACTTTTAAATATTGTATTTTTGTTACTATTTGCTCTATACTTTCTGTTACATCTTCATATTTGCTAACAACTCAAAAACTATTAATTATATAACTATAACAGAACTATTATTTGAATTATCTTTCTGATCTACTTATAATAATTTTATTTTTATTACTGTATCTTAACTTATGCAGTCTTGTAACTTAGTTACTATTTGATTTATATATATATCTGCATCTGCATCTTTTATCTGTATTTTGCATCTGCATCTTGCATCTGCATCTAAATTCAATTTTATTACTGTGCTTATCAGAACTCCAATTTATCTAAATACTTATTTCAGTACTTTGTACAACTCTAGTCTACTTAAATATTTATTAAACTACTTACTAGCTCTCTAACTCTGTCTTACCCTCTCTTTTGTTGATTAATTATTTACTAACTCTGATGCCAGCTATTACTACTTTTAAACTGAAGTAGTCAGACAAATAATATAATTAAAAATTAAAAAAAAAAACTTTTATTTTTAATCTTTTTATACTAACTGCAATTCTCTATCTGACTAATTAACCAGAATCTTGTTCTAAGATAACACTCTAAACTTGAAATTTATAATTCACTAGAAATATAAACATTTGTCTGATATACAATCTTATTATATATATATAGTAGCTCTCTACTCTAAACTCTTTTTCTAGACCCTATCTTAGTATTTTATTATTATATTTATCTAGCTGACAATAAATATTTGTTTCCAACTGTATCTAGTTAATCTTCTAACCATTTCTTAATTTAACAGCTTCTTATTATTATAAATATAGGCTTAGATTAATCAAGCATCAGATAATATGAAATCTCCAGAAGATGTTACATGGCCTAACTTGTGAGAATCATGCATGTGAATCAGCATAATAAAAAATCTATAGAAGAAATTTTATATAGAAAAAAGTACATGAGATAAAAGATCTGGTATTGGCAACTATCTACAACTTGTAGACAAGATTGCCACTAGCTCTTAACAAGAGATTTATGCAGTGGCAGCCTTTTATGTGTACTTATAAGCACATAACTTAGTGCCTTGCAAAAACACATGTACTTTCAACAGCTCACAAGCTGAGGCTCTGAACTGTTGTAAGTGTTGTTTGTCTGTATAAGGAGTTTGTGAGTGAATTCTTACATAACTCTGAATATATAATAATAATATAATTCTTACAGATTATAGAAATCTCAGTATTTAGACTTCTAGTTCACAGATTTATATATTTTATATATAACTCTCTCTCATCAGTTGCAGGCATTAATCTACTTAGCTCTTTTGTACAACAAAAATTGACAGCAAAATTGATGGCAAAAACTAACAACTAAAATTAACAACTAAAATTAACAGCAAAATTGACAGCAAAAATTGACAGTCAAAATTAATGGTCAAAATTGATGATGCCAAAATTGACAGCCAAAATTGATGACAGTCAAAATCAACAACACCAAAATTGACAGTCAAAATTGACAACAGTCAAAATCAACAACACCAAAATTGACAATAGTAAAAATTGATGATGCCAAAATTGACAACAGTCAAAATTGACAGCCAAAATTGACAGTGAAAATTGACAACAGTAAAAATTAACAGTAAAAATTGATGACAGCCAAAATTGATGGTAAAAATTGACAACACCAAAATTGACAATGGTAAAAATTGACAGCCAAAATTGACAATAGTAAAAATTGACAGCCAAAATTGATGGTGAAAATTGACAACAGTAAAAATTAACAGTAAAAATTGATGACAGCCAAAATTGATGGTAAAAATTGACAACACCAAAATTGACAATGGTAAAAATTGATGATGTCAAAATTGACAATAGTAAAAATTGACAGCCAAAATTGATGGTGAAAATTGACAACAGTAAAAATTGATAGTAAAAATTGACAATGCCAAATTTGACAACCAAAATTGACAACCAAAATTAACAGCAAAAATTGATGGCAAAAATTGACAGCTAAAATTTACAGTGAAAATTAATGACCAAAATTGATGCTGAAATTGCCAGCAAATATTTACAGTGAAAATTGATGATCAAAATTAATGGTGAAATTTAACAACTAAAATTGACCATAAAAATTGACAGTCAAAACTAACTTAAGAAGTCAGTGCTGTCATAACTATACTTTCTCTTCTGCATGATGAGTGACCTGCTGAGACACTTGATCTAAATACCTAATGGCCTTTTGACTTTATACCCATGCTTTCTCAAATTTAGACTGATTGGGCACTTGTGTTGTTTGTTCTCTTCCTGCAGCTTTGTACTAATATGTCTTCATGATAGTTCTGTACTAATTATAATAGAAGACCTCTATCTGTACAACTTTCAACCACTGCTACATACACTTCTGATGCTGTATATGTTTTTTCTGCTTTCTTATCAGGCTTTCTGAATCAGAATTCTCTTCAAGATCCATTCTGCTCAGTCTTGACCCAAGAAGTGTCAGATTACTGTTGAGCTAGAGCTGAGAGTGAGACTGCCAGAATTAAGTTACTATTGAAAGATTCATGCTCCAGACCTGCTGTCTCTCTATCTTAACAAGAGTCTGAATGTATAATACAAGCTGAGATGTAAGTCACTTGCAGTTAGTATGCAGCTGGCTTGCAGATTAACTCTCTTTCTCTGTAAATGAGTACAGAACATAATGTTCAGCCATAGTGATCTGAAGATAGTGGCTCAGCTTGCTGAAATGCACACCAACAGCCAGCAAAAACACTGCTGGATTGAGGAACATTACTGTAGAAACAAAATGTTGATCTTGTTCAATGGCAAGCCAGGCATCAACATTACTGGGAACTGAGAGAAGGGCCACATCCAGAGGCAAAGATTAATCACCAGCCTCCAACCTGCCAGAAGCAGCTCATCAATCATGTCTAGCTTAATAATGGTGAGTTCTGGCTGGTACTGCTGAAGATAGTTGACCAGTCCTGAATGAGTGCTAGTTCAGCTTTGCAGTTTCTCTCCCTTTCTACATGTCCAGAAGGCTGCCATGCTTGAATAGAGCAAGATTCAGTGGCTGCAGATGAAGATCTGCTTCACAATTATCTGTCACTTACAGGCCTGCTGAATTCCATACACACAGACAATGATATTAAAGAACTGGTGAAAGAGAATCTGGTACTGCTTTAACTTCCAGTGTTTCTGCAGCTAGTCACTATTGTTCCCATTGCTGTTCCAGCCCCAGAGCCATGCAAAGAGTATCTCAATGTTTCTGACTTTCATTCTGGAGCCTGTAATGAACTGGATGTCTTTCTGAAAGTGAAAATGTTGAAAGACTTGTAAGATACCAGCACAGGTGAATGGTATATCATTATTACATGTGTTCTCAAGTCTAGTGAGATGAAGTGGCTGCTGGATAATATAGTTAGCCAGGCTTCTGAAGACATTCTTCTGGAAGACTAAGCTGGTATTTAGGACCAGGATGGGATCCCATTTCCCATTGAACCTGGTCCTGGTCCTGAATTTAGAAACAGCTGGGATCCCAAATATGAAATCTCAGTCCCATGTCCCATTCTACTCAAGAGCTTGAGGTCCTGTTCCCATCCCTATTCCAGAAATTATTTCCCAGTCCCATCCTCAAATAGAAAATTATGTCCCACATTCTATTCCAGCAGAGATGATAGACTCCTATTTCTCATTCCAGCCAGGTCCATAGTGGGACTGGGATGGGACCAGAATTCCTGGTCCCATTGTGTCAAATTTATAGGGAAGAGTCAAACTGATCAAATTTTGTGTGGACCATTACCAAATTTCATTACTTTTTTGATGAAGGCAGAACCCATAGAAAAATCAATTTGATTGTCAAAAGAAATAAAGTATTAAAACTAACTAATGACTGAAGCCAGCAAACAAACAGGAACTGCCTAAATGGCAAGTTAATTATCATTGTCATCATCTTCATCATTATTATTGTCATCATCTTTATCATCATCATTATTCTTCTTCTCTCTCTTCTTCTTCTTCTCTCACTTCTTCTTCTTCTTCTTCTCCTTCTTCTTCTCCTGCTCCTCCAGAACTGGCTTTGTGAACCAGACAGGGGCTCTAATACTCACCATTTGACAGGTGAAGACCCTGACAGTGCCAGAGAGAGGCAGGGAGGCAGTGGTGGATGGTGGCAGTGGTGGTAGAGCAGCAGCAGCAGTAGTTGGTGGAGCAGGGGCAGCATACAGACAGTAAGTAGTGGCAGCAGGGGCAGAATGATCAGGCACATTAATCAGGCTGAAATAGTTCAACTCAATTTTGGCATTAATGTCAAGAACAAGCTTCATATCATCAGCATTGACTGTAATGTGCTTACAGTGCATCATTGCCATAATAGAGCCTATATTACTTAGTATAATTGTTGGTGTCATTGCTAAGAGTGACTTACACTCAAACAGAGTACACAAGATTGCTTCAGCCATCTTCTGAAGTGACTTAATAACAGTACATTGCCAGCAATATTCATGTTCTTGATGACAGGACAAAGTAATTTCCTGAACCAATTACTAAAACAGAACTACCAGCAAGATTAGCTCAGTAGAGCTCTGAAAGTAGCACATTTCCTTGATGACATCTATTTTCATCAATTAGTATCAAGACCATTATTAAAAATCATTACTTTTTAACATACAAGTGCCAGCCTTCCAATTTTGAATGGAGAAGTGGGGGCAGGAATTCTCCTGGTCAAAGTTAGCCAGATCAACATCTTTATTGACTTTACATCAATTACTCTTCTTCAGGGCTCATTCTTTTAATGTGGTCTTGTGCTGCTCCTCTCCAGCTGTGCAAAATGAACATGCATGGGGAAAACTAACATCTTGTCAGTAAATAATGTGTGTCAGAGCAGTATTCTGCAAGCACTCATCTCTTAACACAACTTATTTTGTTGCAGTATATGTTTATTGTACACATGGACATCAAAGTACAGTAAATAAAAAGATGGTGGAGGGGAAGAAAGAAGGAAAGAGGAAATCATTACCATTAGCTCTGAAGAGAAAGAAGAAGAAGAGAAAGAGAAAGAGAAGAGAAGAGAGACTGACCTGATGTTATTATTCTGTAGCCAGTATAGCAACAATATGTTAATCTTGCCTATAGCAACATGCCTGTAGAATGTAAACAATGTGTATAGTAACCATTCTACAGTACTTGATCAATACACTCTATAATCTCATTATCCTGTAGCCAGCATAGCAACAACATATTGAGCTTGCCTATAGTAACATGCCTGTAGAATATAAACAATGTGTATAGTAACCATTCTATGCAAGTACTTGGTCAATATACTCTATAATCTTATTATTCTGTAGCCAGCAATTCAACTCATTACATATAATTGTGAAAATGGGACCAAAACAATATTTAATAAGAGAGAAGATCTATGCAGCACAGAAGCACTGTCAGGCCTTGAAAGACCATTAAAAAGATATATTCAAGGCAGAAGAGATAAATCACAAGGCATGCCATAATATGCTGAAGAGAATTCAAGCAAAACATGAGTAGTATGCACCCTCAGTGGTTTGCATTGAATTATATTAACATTCATTGCAGGCAGAATAGCAGTGAGGAGGATCACAAGATAATTGAAGATAAAGCTATTGAAGAGTTGATGATCAAGCAATTTGTCAAGAGCAAGTCAAAGAAATATCATGAGCACCAGCTTATGATCTCTCAGTAAAAGAAGAGGGAGAAAGAGAAGAAGTATTATCAAGAAGAGACTACAGAGACTGAGAATGAAGCTCAGCAGAAAAAGAAGATAGAATTCAAAAGTAATAAAATTTGGTAACAGTTCTGATATATTTAGGCCAAAACAAGCCAGATACAGCATTCTATTGCTGCACATAGAAAGGTCTGATTCTGCCAAATGATAGCCAGGCTTGAAATCAAGATTATGGCTCATGATCATAATTGTCTTGCTGCAGTCAGTATATCAAGAGAGGGGGTTGAGAAGAAGATGAGGGAATTCCTGAACCAATTACAGAATCTGAGTGAAGATAACAACAGCTCATCTGCCCCAGAGAAGATGAAGGAAGATGATTTTAAGATTGTGGTGTCCTCTGATAAGAATGATAAGAAGAACAATAAGATGGAGAATGATTGAATTATTGATATCTAGAGAAGAAAGTTAGATTTTTAGTTCTTTTTTCATATTAATTTGAGAATGGGATGCCATTAAATTGGCAAAATATTTTATTTTCCTGAAGAAGAATATTTTATTTTGTAGAAGAAGAAGATTTTGTAGTTGGTTGCTGTACTTACAGAGTAAAATAAGACTAACTATTTAGAGATTATCAAATTTTGCATGAACTCTGACCACATTTTATTACTTTTTTGACTAAGGCAGAACTTAGAGAAAAATCAATTTGATTGTGAAAAAAAAAAAAAAAAAAGAAAAATCTAATAGCTGAAGCCAGCAAACAAGCAAAATCTACAGAGATTTCTTCAGAATTGATCATAGTTCAACATGGAAAAAAACAATTTGTATTGTGGAAGAAGCTGCATTATAAGTTGTTTGTTACTTGATGGTTGACTACTGAAGCTGCTTAGTTGATTAATGATAAGAAGTGTGGTGACCCCAACTGAAAGGCAAAGCAATATTATTCTGATTTTTAATCAAAATTTGATCAGGTGGCAGAGCATTCTAAGAGTACTCCAGAAGTAATTTACAAGTATTGCCAAATCTTTCTCAGTCATTCAAGCTTTTCTCAAAACAGTACAAGTAATCTGAAGAAGCATTTAACAAGTAAAAATTGTACAAAAACTGATGACAGACAGAATAACACTCTGATTAACATGATGGTAGATCATAAATTTTAATTTTCCAAATGTAACAAATTTTAGTAACAGTTCTGGTGTTTTAGCAACAGTTTTCAAAGTATTCTTGAACAGATTCAGATCTGCCTGTTTCTGAATGCAATTGAGATAATTTTCTCCAGCAGCTTGTGCAAATATTAATATTCTTGAATCTCTTATTTTGTGCTATTAAGAATCCAGCATTCCACACATTAATAATCATGCTCAACCCTGCAATGGCTTTACAGATACCCACACAAGAAACATTATATCAGGTCATAAATGATATGTACAATCAGCTATTCTGAAATCTTCTCTTTAACCATGACCCAATAATCAAGATATCTCTGGCAGTAGATAATTGAACAAGTCCTAATAATCTTGTCTTTATGGCAATTAATAGTTATTATATTACAAAGGATTGGGAGTACCATGAGCATTTACTGAATTTTGAAAGTTTAGAGAGTACTTATACTGGCAAGAATATAGCAGAGATTCTCCAACAATTACTAGCAGTATGGAGACTTGAGAGCAATCTTCTTGTAATTACAAGTGATAATGCATCAAATAATGATATCATGCAAGCACATCTTACACATCAGTTGAGGCCAGCATTGCAGCAGTTGAATAAGACAACTGATTAAGATGCAGAAAGTGGGATAATACTCTGTCTTACTTATGTGATTTAACTTGTGGTTCAAGAGCTGGTTTGCAATCTCAAGATTCAGCCAGATAATGATGCTCTACTCACTATCTTTAATGAGAGCTCAATTACTAATAATCTAGCATCAACAGACACATCTGCAAATACTCTTAGAAAGGTAACAAAATTTGATAATAGTCTTGATATAGTTGAGTTGATTTACTAATCTTTGCTTGATAATAGATTTATCTTGTTGCTAATGTAATCAATGTCTTCCCTCAACTCACTGCACATTTCCAAGAATATCAACAAGAGAATTAGTGCAAGATGATTCAAGATGTTCACATAAGATGGAATTTTATCTATAAGATGTATGTTCATGTCTTGTTGCTTCAACAAGCTGTAAACTTATGAATTCAGAACTCATCACCAAAATACTAAAGACTTTGCTTTTTAGATCATGACTGGAAGCAGCTAGAGTATATGATTAGACTGTTGCAGTCATTCAGTTAATTTATCAAGATACTGTCCAAAACAACAGACCCAACAATTCATCTGGTATAGACAACATACAATCATCTTTTCCAGCATTTAGAAAGAGAGAAGAACAAGATCCAACAGTTGATAACAAGAGAGAATATTCAAGAAGCTATCAAAGCTGCTAACTTGAAATTCCAGAAATACTATAGTAATACTGAGCATTCAAAGAGTAAGCTGCTAGCTGTAGCTGCTGCTCTCCATTCATTACATCACATAAGAGCATATGATTCAGAGAATTGGATCAGTGATGAGCATGAAATATACTAACAATATATTTTGAGGTTTTACAAAAAGCATTATGAGAAATATGAACAGTCAAGAGAAGTAATACTTGATGTGAATGATGTATATTTGTTATAAGTATTATTCTGATTTCTTCTCTGCTAACTTCTCTAGGATATTGAGCAAATGATTTTTGAGAGATTCTATTAAAGACAAGCAAATTTCCAAAATGAAATGAAGCAATATTTAAATAACCAAGAATTTGATATCACCTCAAGCTCCAATTCTGGAACAGTGGAGAATGCTAGAGTCTGATTTTCCAACTGTTGCTCAGATGACAAGGGACATTCTGGCTATATCTTTAACAGAGGTTGAAGTAGAACAGGTTTTTAATGTTGCTCAGAATACATGTTATTATTGATGATCACAGCTCCATGCATCTATAATCAAGAAGATCATACTGCTTAAACATGAAGATAAGATGCATATACTGGATGAAGCACTCATATCACATGAGAAGTTGGCCAAGGAAGTTATTCAAGACAATCAAGATGATCAAGATACTCCAGAGATCATACAGAAAGAGATTGCAAGCCTGCTAAATCCACTACTTAATCCAGATAAGGAACAGAAAATACATCAATATTATCAATAGATAGACTCAAGTAGCTAATAGCTTGCAATATGATCCAATTATGCAAAGAGCATTACCAAATTTCAGTACTTTTCCAAAGTTGAATAAATTGATAAAATTATATTAGAACTGTTACCAAATTTCATTACTTTTTGACAACATAAATGGGACTGGAGTTCCCAGTCCCATTCTACACTTTACTGGTCCTGTCTCATATACAATATTGAAATTCCAGTCCTATCTCATTTTGTTATGTTAGGTCCTGGGCCTGTTCTACTAGCTAGATTTTGATTCCAGTCCCAATTCCATCCCAATTCCAGTTCCCACAGAACTGTCCTAATATGCTGTTAAACAACCCAGTCCCATCCCATTAAGCTGAGCTTCAACCTGATCCCATTCTCGGGACAGGAATTGGGACAGGAATCTGGGACCAGGACAGGAAATCCTGGAACCAGATACCACTCTAAGCCTGATTTAGAAGCATCTTCTATATAGCTGAGAGAAATTTGAAAGTTATTCTTGAGATCAAAGTCACAGTCTTTTGCTTGCTTTTAAATATTATAAAAGGTAGAAAGAAGAATCTGGAGAGTATAAGAAACATCTAAGATAGAAATTTCATAAGAGATTAAAGCAAGAGCTTGAATTTGCATAACAAGCTTATTATAGAGAGAGATTTCTCTGGAAGACATGGTGGGCAGATTTGATATTTTGAATTTGGAGAGATTTGGAAAAAGATAGAAGCCAGGCTGTTTGTTGAATAATAGAAGATACCTGCTACCCCACCAAATTTTGATGGGGCAGCAGGTAACTGCAATACATTGTAACAAAATAGAGTTTCCGGGAACTTTTGTTCCACACCTCCATAAATTGACAGCAAAAATTGACAGCTAAGATTTACAGTGAAAATTGACAGCAAAAATTAATGAGAGTCAAAATTGATGGTGAAAATTAACAACCAAAATTGGTGACCAAAATTAATGGCAAAAATTGATAATGAAAATTGACAGCAAAAATTGACAGCAAAAATTGACAGCAAAAATCAACAACCAAAATTGATGACCAAAATTGATGACCAATATTGACCACAAAACTTGACAGTGAAAATTGACGACCAAAATTGACAACAGTAAAAATTGACAACCAAAATTGACAACTAAAATTTACAACAGTAAAAATTGACAACCAAACTTTACAACAGTTAAAATTGACAGTCAAAATTTACAATGGTCAAAATTGATGATGGTAAAAATTAACAACCAAAATTTACAACAGTCAAAATTGACAGTCAAAATTTACAATGGTCAAAATTGATGATGGTAAAAATTGACAACTAAAATTGACAACAGTAAAAATTGACAACCAAAATTTACAACAGTCAAAATTGACAGTCAAAATTTACAATGGTTAAAATTGACAACAGTAAAAATTGACAACCAAAATTGACAGCCAAAATTGATAACAATAAAAATTGACAACCAAAATTGACAACCAATATTGACCACAAAACTTGACAGTGAAAATTGACAACCAAAATTGACAGCCAAAATTGACAACCAATATTGACAACCAAAATTGACAACCAATGTTGACAACAGTAAAAATTGACAGCCAAAATTGATGACCAAAATTGACAACCAATATTGACAACCAATATTGACCACAAAACTTGACAGTGAAAATTGACAACCAAAATTAACAACCAAAATTGACAACAGTAAAAATTGATGACCAAAATTGATGATCAAAATTGCCAACTAAAATTAACTGTAAAAATTGGCAGTCAAAACTGACTTAAGAAGCCAGTGCTGTTATAAATATACTTTCTCTTTCTGCATGATTGAGTGACCTGCTGAGATACTTGAGCTAAACACTCAATAATCTTTTGACTTCATACCCATGCTTTCTCAAACTCCAACTGATTTGCTACTTGTGCCATTTGGTCTCTTCCTGCAGCTTTGCACTGATTGTAATAGAAGGCCTCTCTCTGTAAAACTTTCAATCACTGCTGCATATATCTCTAACAACATGCATGCTTTTCCTGCTTTCTCATCAGACTTTCTGAGTCAGAATTCTCTTTAAGATCCATTCTGGTTATTCTAGGTTCAAGAAGTATCAGATTACTGTTTAGCTGGGCCTGAGAGCAAGATTATCAGAATTAAGTTGCTCTTGAAAGATTTATGCTCTGGACCTGCTGCCTTTCTATCTCAACAAGAGCCTGGATGTGCAACACAAGCTAGAATGTAAGTTACTTGCAGTTGGTATGCAGCTG